CCCAATCCTGGGAGACACAGGATTTCAAATGGATCACCATCCATAGAATGCCCCAGGGATGGACCAAAGCTGGCTCCATGCAGAGAGTCACAGCACCCCCCACCCTCACCCCACAGCCACCCTGTAGATGACTAGCAGATTGCTGGGCTGGGAGAGAGCTAGGGAGCCTGAGGGCAAAACCCTGTAGCCCCCCTCGCACCCCACCGCACCCCGTTGTTTGGCTTCTGGCTGGCCCTGCCCATAAGTTTTGCCGGCATCCTGGGTCTCGGGCACCGCACACTCTGGGAACATGCATTGGGCCCACTGACTGATGACCCGTCTCTCAAATTGGATGATCAATTTTTTGCAAGCAGACACCTGCCTTAACTTCTTTGGGATTCTGTTTGAGGCCTAATCCTGCGGCAGTCCGCAGGGCTGCGGCTACAGAGCCCCGCAGACTCGGGCAGGCCGGAGGCAGGAGGCAGGAATCGGGAGGTGGACAGGGTCCTTCCTCCCAGGGCTGCGAGGGAAGGCGCTGTTCCTGCTCTCTCTCCTCGGTTTATAGATGGCCATCGAATCTACGTGTGTCTGTGTCCAAACTGCCTCTTCTTAAAAGGACACCAGTCACATGGCACTAGGCCCACACCAATGACCTCATTCAAACTCAATTACCTCTTTAAAGGCCCAATCTCCAAATACAGTCACAATCGAGAGACTGGGGGTTAGGACTCAACACGTGAACTTTTTTTTTTTTTAACCTTCACCCGAGGATATTTTTTTCGTTGCTTTTCAGAGAGAGTGGAAGGGGGAGAGAGAGAGAGAGAGAGAGAGAGAGAAACATCGATGTGAGAGAGACACATGGATGGGTTGCCTCCTGCACATGCCCCGACCAGGGCTGGGGATCGAGCCTGCAACCGAGGCACATGTCCTTGACTGGAATCAAACCCGGGGCCCCTCGGTCCGCAGGCCGATGCCCCAACCACTGAGCCAAACTGGCTGGGGCTCAACATGTGAATTTTAAGTGGACAGAATTCAGACACCCAGGAGTAAACGAGAAGGATGGATGGGGGAGACCAGCAGGCAGAGGGATCATGGCTTGACTCCCGGCCTCTCAAGGCTGGTCTGCACCAGAGACCCCTCAGACTCATTCAGGCCACTGCACAGCCACCAGCCAGATCTTTGAGGGGCCTGGGGTGGGCCACCCCTCCTCCCTGGGCCCTCAGGCAGTCCCACTGAGTCCTCTCAGAGCATCTGGCTGGCCAAACCTAAGAGTGAGCAGAGATAAGGGTGGACCCTGGAGATAGGGTGCCCTAAAGGCTGGGGCAGCCCGGGGGGGGGTGTATATGGTGTGGGAGGGCTGAAGCACCCCTTTGTTTTGGAGTGGACGTGGGAGGGGTGGTCTCTCAGTTCAATTGCCTTCTCACTATGGAGTGGGCCTTTGGGTGAGGCTGGGGGGGGGGGCGGTTAGAATCCTATTTGCATACAGGGGTGGCCCCAAGGATCCTATTTGCATATGGGGCCCAGGCTTCTGGGAGGTTAGAAAGAAAACATTTATTTTAACTTGCAAGTTTGTTCTAATACTTAAAGTAATATTTACTCATTGATGAAAGAAAAATCTTGCCCTCTATCCACCACAACTAGACATCTCTGACTCTGGCTACTCACTTGTTATTTATCAACATCATGTGCTTCTACCTTTAGGATCATCTCTGAATGCAAGCAGTAAATGTTACTGTTGAACAGTTAATTAGAAAATGCAGTTCACCAAAAAAACAATTTTAAGTCACTTATAATCCCACTACCTAAAGATAGCTTGTTTTTTAACGTATATTTCTTTGACTACTAATACATTTGAATATTTTCCTTTGTTTATGAGTTATTTAGGTTTTTCATCTTTGCATATTGTGTTACTGGGTGTCTCATGATGTCTGCTCCATCTGTTTGGGATCTTTATATATAGATATAAACTCTTAGTCATATTTGTAGCAAATATATTTTTTCCAATTTGTGCTTTGCTCTTAAAATTTTTAGAGCGTGTTCTGATCTATGTCTATTTTCCCCTTCAGAATCCCTTTCCTGGCTCTAATGCTTGGAAAGTATTTCTCCTTCCCCAAAATAAAATATTTTCTTTTAATTTGTTTTCTCTCTCTCTTTGCATTTACCTCTTTAAAATCTGAACGTGAAAGTAAGAAACAAATTTTGTTTTTCCAAATACGTAACCAATTGTCCCAGCACCATTTTGTAACTCAGCCCTCCACTCTATCTTTGTGTCCCCAAAGACAGTCACCTGCTCCAAACCAATGTCCAGGAGAAACACACACACACACACACACACACACACACACACACGCACACACCCTGGCAGTCCCCCGGGCTGCCAGCACACACACAAAAACACTAGCAAACAAGGTGCGATTTCTGATGTTGTGGAGGTGAGGGGTGTGCCCTGGAGACCTCAACGCAAACAACTTAAAAATTCCCTCTAGATATTTCTGTTCTCCCCCGAGCCTCACCTGCTGCACCCCCAGGGAGGCCTCACCCTCCCTCTCAGCACAGCTGCCTTGCTGCTCACCGTTAACTCCGCCTTCATTTCCCAGGAACCTCAAAACCTGTGCCCCCCTCTCTTGCAGAACAATTGGGCTGCAGGCGCCTGACCCAAACCCCGCTCTTTCCAAACAAAGGCCCTGGGGCTAATGGCATCCACCTCCTTAGAAAGCTGGGTAGCAACTTCCTTTGTCACTTGAGAAGGCCTTTGGGGTCTCGGCCCCACCCCTTGGGGCTGATTAACCTGTTTCTGCGGACGTGCTAGGTGGAGTCCTCATGCCACCTGCCAGTGGAGCCCAGGTTGCTCTTCTCCTTAAGTGTCTTGCACATGCAGGAAGAGGAAGCTCTGGGAAGAGGGAAACCTGGAGCCCCTTACACGGCTGATACGCAGAGGCTGCCCTGGGAGCCCAGAGCTGGGACGGAGCATCCGGGGCAGCAGCCAGCCAAAGACTCGGGCGCCCAGGGGCAAATTCACCAGATTGGTTTATAGCTCTCTGTTCCCTAGTGTAGACTCTGGGGGGAAATGACCATGTTTGCTGTTGCGGATGGTGAGCCCTGCAGTGCTCAGTCTGTAGAGGTAGCTTGAGCTGCTTTAGCCAAGTGCCAGTGCCAGGAGGAATCTGAGGGAGGGTCTAGGAGGGACTCTGTGGGGTGATTTCTGGACCAGTGTGGACAGAGGTCCTGGGATAGGGAGGTCTGAAGCCAAGACAGACGGAGGTGACACGACAGCAATGGCCCTAGCGGCCAGAGGAGCCAGGGTGCTCCAGGGAAGTAAGATGGAGGGGCCTCTGCCACTCAGGTTCCCTGGATGACTTTAGGCTAGGGATGCTGTCCCTTAAGCTGCCCGTGGCTGCTCGTAACAATAAGCCTTGGCTCAACTTGCTGAAGCAGACAAATCTCCTCCCATCACAGGAAGTCTGGTGGCTGGGGCTGCAGGTGCAGTTTGCCCTAGTTTTCTGTGACCCCCTTGGCTCCACCATCCTCTATGTGGGGCTTGTTCTCAGGCAAGGTGCCCTCGTGGTCACAAGAGGCCCAATGAGATATGACAGTGTACAGGAGCAGAGAGCAGAGGAGGACCACATCTTCTTGGGTCTCCTAATGAGCAAGGAAACTTCCCAGAGGCCCTAGCAGACCACTTCATTCTCAGGCTTGGGCATGATTCATTCACCACTTGGGGAAATGTCTTAGACCATTGTGATCCACTCCATGTGTGGACTGGGGACAGATCCCCTCTCCCACTATGAAACCTCCTTGCTGTGGCTGCTCCAAATCAATGGTTCCCATCACCCACACACTAGTGCAGCAGAGGGTCTGGGGCTGACCCACCTCAAAGGCAAAAGGCACCAGATTCCCCAGGGAGCTTGGCAAAAGGGCCATTGCCCTGGAGCACTCCCTCTGGTGTGGGCAAAGCTGATATTCACTCACTGCAGCAGCTACAGGAATATCAGTCATGGGCAGGGGATGGATTTCTGGTGACTGAAGTCTGGGAAATGACCTGGGAGTCACCACAGACAGATGTCCCCCCCAAAGGAATCTTGGGCTTACTTGGTGGAAAGACCCTTGAAGGGGCAAGTCATCCATGAGCCCTGGACAGCAGGCAGCTTGTCCAAAATAGAAGGCTCCTCATCGGCATCACACCAACACTGCCCAGGGCTCTGTACTTCCTTGGGGGGGGTGCAGATCTCTGACTTTTCTGCCCTCCAAGCCCAGCTGGGCAGGGACAAGATGGAGATACTTTATGCTAAATACAAGGGTTAATCCCTGTCTCACTCTGTTTGGGCTGTGGGTTTGGTGACTGGTTCATACACAGCCATCTTCTCTCTGTAACCTCACATGGAGGAGGGGCAGAGAGCTCTGTGTGGTCTCTGTGCTCGCACTAATCCCATTCATGAGGCTCCACCTCGTGATCTAATCACCTCCCAAAGGCCCCACCTCCAGATACTGTTACAATGGGGATAGCTTCCAACATAGAAATCTGGGAGGGGGGCATACAGACATTCACCTATAGCAACCCACAACCAAAAACTTTCAGGGCTAGGACCGCCCCAGCCCTTAGCCTACTCGCCGCTGCTGGGAAACTGACTCTCTGCACAAAGACTGGACAAATCAGGGTCTGAATCACTGGTGTGGACAGGGAGGTGCTGGGAGTGGTCCCTTATAACATTTATTATAAATTAACAACTGCATCCCACTCTCTTTCATCGGAGTCACAGCCATCATGATTCCTGGTGGCACCTGCACCTGCATAGACACCTCTATCCTTTTCTCTCCTTACCTACCAGCAGACTTGGCTAAAAATAGTCTAGGGGACTGAGTCCACTAAAAGCAGCTACTCCAGAGGTTCAATACCCCTGCTCTGCAGGTGCCTGTGACATCGCCAGATGCCCACAGCCCCCTGTGACCTCATAACCTGGACAACTCCGCCCAGCAGGGCTGTTACTACCCCCTCAAACCAACACAAGTAACAGAGGGCCTAGATGACCACAGTCCCCTCGGGAGAGGCCAGCATCCCCACAGGAGGTGATAGCAGGTCTTCAGACAGCCCAGCAGTGGGGTCTCAAAGTCAGGGCTCCCTCCCTGCAGATGGCCCAGTGGCCAGAAGCGCAGCGTCAGCCGAACAGGATGTAGATGAGGCCTCCATCGCGCCAGCTGCCTCCAAGGCCACGTCGGAGTCTGGGGATGAGGGCAGGCCTGGAGGTGAAGCTGCCGCAGGGCACAGGCAGGAACCCAAGGCGGCCACGGCCCAGCTGGCCCACCCAAGGCCAGACGCCCTGCCAGTGTCCATGAGCCTCCACAGCCTCGTGTGGGCTGGGTCGGTGCGAGATTTGAGGACCACCCAGAGTCTTCGGGTTTCCCAAAGTGACTCCCTGGTTAAGATAGAGACACCACAAACAGCGAGTGTCCCAGACAGGGAGCAAGGCTTAGACCCATCTACCCCAAGTGCTGAGGTGCAGTTCCCCCAAAATGTGCCCACCATGAGCATCGCGGACGCAGACAGACAGCTGGACACTCGGGCCACCGGCCCCATTGAAGCTATTGAGAAATCTGAGGGTCCAGAGGCCGTGAACCCTGACACTGAAGCTTTGCCATCGGCTGAGTCCCAGGCGGTGACCGAGGGGGACTGGGCAGACCGCTCAGGAGACCTGCAGGCTCGGCCGGTGCCGCCCCCCACAAGAAACAGTGGCCCCCCCTTGCCTGGTGCTCCCACAGTGGCCCGGCGGAGGAGGCCCCTGGACTCCAGCCTGTACATGGCCACCGAGAGGAACAACTACTTGAGCTCCATGACCAGCCTGCTGGGAGGGGGCGAGGGGTCCATCAGCTCCCTAGCAGACATCCTGGTCTGGTCTGAGGCCACCATGGGCATAGCCACAGGCCTCCTGGCGACAGGGCATAGCTCCATGTCGGACCTGCTGCAGAGCTTGCGGCCCAGCCTGCACTCCGTCTCCAGCATCCTGGGGAACGCGGGGTCGGCCCTCTCCTCCGGGCTGGTGGCGGGGACTGGCTCGGTCCTTCGGTCCGTCACCCACGCGCTGGAAAGGATGGAGCAGAGGACTGCTGAGGGCGTCCGCCTGGCCGCGTGCTACGTGGCCGGCCGCCTCGCCCCACTCTGGCCCCAACTATGACTAGAGCCTGCGCAGTGAGCCCCAGAGGACTGGCTCAGCAGCCTCCTGACACCCTGGGACCTTCATGCCCTGCTCCCTTGCCCACTCCTGCCCTGAATGGCTCTCTCCAGACCAGGCAATAAATCCCCAGCAGCGTTTATTTTCTAAGCTCCAGCCTTATCCCTGGTTCGTGAGGCTGGCACAGGTGGAGGGACAGGAGAGGGCTGAGGGATTCTGGAAACAGAAAGGTGTCCCCTGGGGGCTTCTTGGGTGGTCCCATTCAGGGGCTGGGGCCAAAGTGCAGAAATGAAATCCTGGGCAGGGGTGGGGGGTGGGAGCAGGTGTAGAGGTCTCAGACCTGCAAAAATTGATCCTGGCTGGACCTCCAACTAGGCAAGTACTCTCCTGAGGAAGTGAGGCCTGCCCCTGCCCCGGGGCCCCCTCGCCCAGCAGGCTTGGGCCGCCCTACTAGGCTCTCTGAGAGGGGTTGAGGGCATGGAGCCAGACCAATGTGGGTCCAAACCCCAGCGCCACCGCTGGCCCTGGGCCAGTCACATCACCCTCTGAAACCTCTGGCTCCCCTCTGGAGAATGGATAGCGAAGCCACGCCATGAAGATGTTATGAGACATAAGGGAAACCATGCAGGTCAACTCATGGTGTCTGGCACTTAATGAGCTGGCACACTTCAGCTGCCGCTATTATTAGCCTCCAGGGGACCAGGGACATGGTGGGAATAGGGATCTAGGAAGGGTGACCAACTCTCTGTCTCAGTTTGCCTGGAACCAAGAGAGTTCCTGGGACGTGAGACTTTTAGATTTAAAGCCAGGAAAACCCCAGGCAAACCAGGACAAGCAGGTCACCCTAGACCCAGGTCTCCTTACATGGTTTTCACTCGTCTGAGACTCTGTCCACCTTGGAAAGAAATCCACCTGCCCTCTGGCTGGATACAGTGTCACCTGGTCACGTGACTTGGTGAGTGAGGCTCCTACTGGACATCAGCCCCACTCCTGTCCTTGGCCAGGTGCCTTACGCAGGTCCCACCCCACACACCTTCACGCTGCAGCCCTGGCTGCGGAGTCACTCACTCCTCGCTTCCAGCAGCTTCTGCAAATGGGGCCCTTAGCTGACACCAGCCCTCTGATAAATCTGTTTGCTCTACACAGTGTCTCGCAAATTGTGAATTAATTGCTAACATTTGAAAACCCAGAGAGTTTATATAAACATATGGATTTGGGCTTCTCTTAAAAAACCTAGGGGCCTTATTCAGAGCAACTGACAGCTGAGCTGCAAGCTTTAAGAGAGAGCTACCCGGCCTCATCAGTGGCCGGTGACCAATGTCACCTGCCTGGCCCCCAGAGGCACACGTTTGCCACCCCTTCCTTGCAGATAGCTCATGTGAGGAAATCTGATACCAGGCCCCAGGGGGATGCAGAGATGAACCAGGTGCGTCTACCCCTTTCCTTGAGCAGCTGCCACTTTCTGCAGGTGAGCTGTGAACTGTTTCCATATAGTGACAGAAAAGATTCGGGGGAAGGGAATTATCAATTCAAGTCCCGATGATCAGGGCCCCCAGAGAAGCAACTGAGACCTAAAAAGAGAGGAGAGGTGAGGTCCCCTGACAAAGACCATAGGAGGCAGACCTGCTGGGTGTTGGGTGCTGGGTGCTGGGTGCTGGGTGCTGGGTGCTGGGTGCTGGGTGCTGGGTAGGGAGGGCAGCCCAGCAGCTCAGCCTGGGCTGAGCCTAGAGCTGAAAAAGGGGGATGAAGCTGCCTGGGTAGACCCCAAATGCTGTCCACAAATATATTTTGGACCAGGTAAGTGCCACTATGTGCCAGCTACTACTAGATACTGAAACTTTGAAGGTAAATGAAAGATCAGAAGGGACAGAAACCAATCCTGATTAGGTGAAGGGATTAGCTGACTAGCACAATTGCCAAGTGTGGGCGTGGCTGGGCCCGGGGCTCAGCCTTGTCGTCAGGGTTCTATCTTTCCAGCTCTAACCACCCCCCATCTGTGCCTGCTCCATTCTCAGGTGGCTCGGCCGCCTTCCTGGAAAGAGAGAGGTCCTTGTTCCCACTTGCGGCTCTGGCAGAAGAGTCCCAGGGGAGGGCACCGCCGGGCCTGGCTCGACTCCCATGCTCTCTCCTGAACCAATCGCTGAGGCCATGGGAATGGGATACCTGGTTACCTGGCCTGGGCCTCATGCCTACCTCTGGGGCCAGGGTCAGCCAAGAATTGGGGAATCGCCTGGCCAGTGTGGCCCAGTGGATTGAGCGTTGACCCGTGCACCAAGAGGTCACGGGTTTGATTCCCAGCCAGGGCCCATGCCCAGGTTGTGGGTTCGATCCCCAGTAGGGGGGTAGAAGAGGCAGTCAATCAATGTTTTCATCATCAATATTTCTATTTCTCCCTTTCCTTTCCTCTCTATCTAAAAATCAATAAAAACGTGTTTTTTAAAAAAAAGAATTGGGAGATCCCCACAGAAAGTGTATTAAAGCCAGCAGAGTTGTAAAGAGCATGGCATTGGGGTCCAGGTCGCCTGGAATCCTGGCTCTACCTCCTACTAACTGTTACTTTTATCCTCCTGTGCCTCAGTTTCCTCATCTGTAAAGTGACAATAATAGCACCTACTGCCCTGGGCTGTTGTGAGGATTACATGAGTTAGTGAGTCGCATGCTTAGAGCAGGGCCTGGAGCATAGCTGAGTGCTATGTAAGTGTTAGTGAGCACTGTGATTACTGCGGCAGAGGGTTCTATGGAGCTATGTGTCAAGGACAGCATTCCTGCTTGCTCCCAGCCTTCCTCCTTGCTGTGGGAGAAACAGTTGTGTTGGCAGATCCACCTGGCAACAATACTCTCTGCAGGCGGGACCCGCATGCATCCAGCTGCCAGGAGAAGATCAGGGCTGCCCACTCAGCTGAGGAGTCCAGCACAGAGAGCAGTGGACACACTCCAGTTCTGGAAAAGGTGACCTCCAGAAAAGAAAGGCTGGAAGACAGAAGCTTGGGGAAAGGCCCCTCCCCAGGCAAGAGGGGGCAGTTCATAAGGCACAGGAGCAATCAGCAAGCAGGACTGATCAGCCCATCCTGGGCATGTGGACCACCTTGGCGGATGGATGAAAGTTGAGCAAGGGGAGCACTATTGGGGAGAGGTAGTGAGCAGGCACAGAAGGTGGTATTTAAGGGGGGAAGCAATGTGCAGTCAGAATAATAGGGTAGCTGTATGTAGGGTACTCTTTGGTGTTGAAAACTGAGGCTGAGAAAGTGACAAATTTACCCCAACAAAGCTGGCACCTCCTCATGCTCCTCTGCGCAATAGGGCTTCCACCTGACAACACCTCCATTTCTCTAGGAGAGACAACCATCTTTGTGGGTGTGTGTTCTGCCACTGAGAGATTGGCCAGTAAGCAGAGGATCTACTTAAAGAAACATTTAGGCTGGGCCGAGAGCCAGCAGGGCGGGCACAGTAGCCTACCATCTATCTGAGCCCAGTAGTGGCTTGACTAAGGGAAGGTCACCGACAAGTCCCTGCAGATGGCAGAAGGGACACTGTGGCCTCCACCCCAGGGTGGTTTGCCCCTTCAGTGAAGGACTGGTTCCCCCAGCTGCTGTGAGCACTATCAGTGGGTGGCCTTCAGTGCCAGCCCCTTCAAAGAGCCACCGGCCCAAGGTCATGCCCTCCTGGGTGGCCTGATCCAGTGACTGGTCTATGCAAGAGTCTAAGGCCAGCCTTCCTGGGTCTACTTGGAACAACTCCAGCTCCAGCTCCAGCTCCAGAGCTCCTGGGGGGGCTGGTGGGGGTGATGCAGGGTCTGCATGGCAGTCTCCCTTCCCTACCACATACTCTGGCTTTTATCTGGCTCAGAGCCTGGGTTCAGGAAAAACCAACCTGTGCTCAGAAATTGCTGTTTTTCCCCATCTGAGATGTGCATTGAGGAGTGGGATCCACAAATTCAAATGATGTTAAAAGTTCAAAGATTTCCCCCTGGCCGGTGGCTCAGTTGGTTGGAGTGTCGTCCCAGGCACCAAAAGGATGTGGGTTCCATTCCCGGTTAGGGCACATGCCTAGGTGTGGGTTTGACCCCCAGGCGGGAGGCAACTGATGGATGTTTCTCTCACATCAATGTTTATCTCTCTCTCTCTCTTCCTCTCTCTAAGCATATCCTCAGGTGAAGATTTAAAAAAAATTTTTTTGAAGATTATTTTTTTAAAAGAATCTCTCTTTTTTGTAAGAAAAGTTAGAAATTTGAAGCCACTTTGAATATGGTAAAAAATAAATTTTTGTCAGTGTTTTTACTTGTTTTGTAAGGACAATATTCTTGTTTAGTCTATGGCCACTTGGCTAATCGGTTAGTCACCACATGACTACGGTCAAGTTTATAGGTTTGGCTGGTTGAGGCACAGATTCTATCCAGGAAAGTGTCTCCTAGAGAAAGTGATCGTAGATAAGGGCAGTCCCCCAGGGAATGTGATAAAGTGTAAAGGTAAACTAAGGTCTTAGTAAATGTTTAAATATTTAAATGAAAAACTGGACCTTCTCTGGGCTAAGAGGAAGCCCCATTTCTTAGGCCTCCTGGATCTTGAGCTTTAGTCCCTCACCGTAGGGAGCACGCCCTCTGCTGGAGAGAAGGCACCACTGGCCTGCGCCAGGAGGGCCCCAGACCATTATCTCGTGAGAGACATGAGTTTAGTGAAAACTGTTTTTTTACTCACAACAGTTCCAACACCATGTGTGAGTTTTCTACAATTCTTCAATTCTTTTTTTAAAAATGTATCTTTATTGATTTCAGAGAAAGGGAGAGGGGGAGAGAGAGAGACATCCATGATGAGTCATTGATCGGCTGCCTCCTGCACACCCCCGACTGGGGGTGGAACCTGCAACCCGGGCATGTGCCCTGACCGGGAATCGAACCAAGATCTCCTGGATCATAGGTCGATGCTCAACTGCTGAGCCATGCCTAGCCGGGCAATTTTTCAATTCTTTGTGGACACCACTTGGGTGTCCTACAGTTCAATTCTGAC